TGGAGTACTGACACATGCTACATCGTAGGTGAACCTTGAAAACGTTATGCTCAGTGAAGGAACCCAACACCTGATGGTGCATGCCTTTAGTCCCAGCACTCGGGAGGCAGAGGCAGGTGGATCTCTGTGAGTTCAAGGCCAGCCTGATCTACATAGTGAGTTCCAGCTACAGGGAGACCCTATTTCAAAAAGAACAACAAAAAAAAAAAGGTCACACCTATACAACCTCATTTATAGGACACAGTCAGAACAGGTAATTCCAGAGATAGAAGGTAGATTGGGGGTGGCCAGGACCTGGACAGACGGCACTGGCATAACAGCTTAATGCATCTGCAATTCTTCAGGGTTGGTGAAAATGTTTTAGAACTAGACAGAGGTGGGTACATAGCACTACATGTGTACTAAATCCCATTCTCTTTAAAGAAGTTCATTTCATGTTATGTAAATTTCTTCACTCTAGAGTCCAGCCTTAGAAGACAAAAGAAAAAATGAGGAGGAACCCAATAGAGGGATGCTTTTGGAAGCCCTTGTCAAGAAACTCCAACGGACTCTCATATGAACATTTGAAAATTGCCCTGTTGTGGTTTTTTCTAGTTCCCTGTCTAGAACTTGTAATACTAAGTTCTTTTGCCTTTACTTCTCCTTCACATCTCCTAGTCACAGTTCAAGGACTTTCTTTTCCCCCTAGAGATAACAGTTATGCAATTTGGGAGTCTTTTAGATAGACCCACTGAAGGGGTACCCCAATTGCCTCACCCTGTGTCCCTGTTCAGCATGGAAGAAGCCAGAGCGGTCTACGTCCCTATTCCCTATCCAGCAAGCTGGGTAATCTCCTTCAGAGGATGGTGTGATAAGAATAGGAAGTAGGAATTGGCTAGGCAGTTAGGGTAAAAAGACCCCAAAGAAAAGTAGCCAGTTTCTTGACTAAAAGTCAAAATGTCCTTGGGCCTCTTAGCAACATACTCTGTTCCAAAGGCCAAAAATGTCAAAAGTATTTAAGGAGCTTGTATCTAATCCTTAAAAGATTTTAGGAATACCTCTTTGCGGGGGGGGGGGGGGGGTTTGGAGGACCCAAAAGCCCCATAAAAATAAATAAATCAATCAAAGAAGAAGAAAGTACATGAAATTATCAGAAAAAAAGTGATGGGGAGGAGTTGGAGGCGAGGGAGTGGGCATACATTTGACCAAAACACCTTATATGCATGTACAAAATTCTCAATAAATTATTTATGTAAATAAAAAAATGATAAAGTTTACAAACAAACAAACAAACAAAAAAACCCAGTGGCTGGCACATCTCTTTCAGGAACTCCACATCAGGGTCAAGCACTCTTCCTCTATGCTCCAAGGGCCTCTAGGACATACCTTCTTACTGCATTCATGGGGTTACAGGGATCAACGTGTTCAAGCGTGTCTAACTTGTGAACGAGTATCTTCTTCACCCCTCCATCCCTGTGCTTTGTGTAGCACCTGGCAGACAGTGGGCTATGCTGAGTACATTCTACCAGAGAAAAACACAAGCAAAACCCAGCTCTCTTGCCCTAGTGCTCAGACCTCTCTCCCTTACAACAGCCATAGGCTAGAAGCTAGCAGTTCTACTAAGCATTCATTGAGCCCTCTTCTCTGTGCCAGGCACTGTTCAACATACTCTTCCCAAATTATTTCACTTGATCCTCATAAACCTAAGAGGAGGGGCCAATTATCAACTCCACATAACAGACAAGGCTTCAAAAAGTGATCTATTTTGTCTGAGGTCACAGAATTAGGATGTGGCAAAGCCAAATTTTAAAAGCAAACTGTAAGCAAGGGGAGGGAGGTCACTGGGGGAGGAGGGGGAGCTGGGATTCCCTGTGGACAGATTCGGTGTGCTTGAAGATGGTGTCCTAAAATACCTAAGCTTTTTTTAAATGTGTATGAGTGTTATGCCTACATGTATCTAAGTGTACCTGTGTCATATAGTGCCCACAGAGGACAGAGGAGTGTGTCAGATCCTCTGGAAATGGACTTACAGATGGTTACTAATCATCATGTGAGTGCTGGGATTCGAACCCAGATCTTCTGCAACAGCAGCCAGTACTCTTAATTACTAAGCCATCTCTCCAGCCCAGGAATGAAGCTTAATAACATCAAAAGGTCACATTGTATTAGTACCCATTCCAACTAACTCTTATCTGACTCCTCCCTCTGGCCTCAGAGTAAGGGGAGCTGAGGGAAAGGCAAAACTGAGAGGAATGAAGGGAGCTCCAGATCTCTTCCCCAGAGGAAGTAGATAAAAGTCCTGCTCTGGGACCAGGGAAAGGAGAATCCTTTCTCCTGAAGACCTAGAAGAATGTGATGGAACAAGGAAGGCACACCAGGGAGGCCTGCCCCGGAAGAATTCGAGGAAATACAAGGCAGGAGCAGACAATAGAGAAGGAGGGGCAGCATGGCCACTGGTTCCCAAGCTGGAAGTACTTTTTGAAATGGCACTTCCTATTGTCTGACCACAATTCCTCCTCCTTGGAAGACAGCCCCTGTTCCCTTGCTCATACAATCATGTACACAGAAAACATATACAGAATAAAGAAGGTATGACAGAAAGCCAGGGCACTTGTCTTAGACACACAAGTGCCTAGCTGATGCTGAGAACAGCCATCAGATGAGTATCTGGTTTGAAGGAATGAAGCATTACAAAAACAAAATCTAGACTTTTCCTAGTCTGCTCCTAGTCCTAACATTTTCTAAACCTCTCCACTCTTATTCCCAGGCTTTACGAAGGGTAGGGAGCCCTGAGGACTAAAGAGGGAACATTCCAACTGCACATGCCCATTCGAAAGTAGCATTCCAACTTCAATTACCCAGAGACCCTAATGGGCATGTGCAATCACAACTCAGTCTTAAAACTGATGTCTCCACCTACCCTCTGGCAGCAAGAGGAAAATGGCTGAGGGCATGCAGTAGGAAAACAAGGCTTGGATCCTAAAGAGGATGACCAGCCTCTTCTTCCCTTCACCCCAAAACACAGTGGACAAGAGCAAAGAGGGAGAAAGAAGCAGTGACTTCTCTCAGGAAAGATGCCTACTTCCAGATAGTCAGACTTCCCACAGAATGATGACTCCTTTCACCCACCACATGGACATCTGGCCTCTGGCAAGCTCAAATCCCCCCACCTCCTCTCTCTCCAACCCAACAGTGCTTCTCACCACAAATAGGGAAAACTGTGGAATAAAGCACTCCAATACAACTGCAGAAATTCTCAAAGAAGCATTTCCGTGCCATTTCCTCAATCTACTGTTCCCTCCTGGGCCTTGTGTCTCTGTGCATGCTTCTTCCTCTTGCCTCCATCCCCACCCCAAAATCCAAACTTCTCAGGAACATCGGGATCCCAGAGGCAGGGCAGAGTTGGAGGGCTCTCAAGTAGCCACCTTCAAGATGGCTTTTCAAGAGAACTGTGACCTCAGGGGGCATAACTGAAGCAGAGAAGCCAAGCATGTGGCCTCAGAGCATGAAAACCCAACCTATGACAGTGTCTCCTTGAGTTTTCCAATCCCTAAATTCCTCTAGGACTACAACCACATGTCCCCCACCTCCCCTGTCCCTGCTCCCCACAACACATGCCCTCTTCCAGAAAAGCCCATCTCCCCAAATAAGCACCTCATAAGATGGTTGACTTCCCACCCACCCCCATCCCTACAGCCCCAAGGGTCTCAGATACTCAAGACACTAATTACCCTTAAGCCTAGGCTGGGCCCATTCAAGAAGCTCCAGATCCTGCCCTCCCTGTGGGTTTTCTGCCAGGAAAATCTGCCTGCAGAGACAAGAGGTACCCCCAACACACACTCAAACATACACACCCCAGCAAAGGTAGGCACACACATCCAATAACTTAACTCATGAACAGAGATTACACACAAGAGCAGAGATTCACACACACCCCTTCTCAACACACCGGTGCACACACACCTATTCATTATGTACCCATTCCTAGCCACGTCTTTCCCATAAGCCCCTCTCAGTACATACAACATGCAGACACACACCCCTTCCCCCGAGTATACACACAAATACATATCCAAACACACAGCAGATACGTAGTCAGCTCTCTCTCTTCCTCTCTCTCTCTCTCTCTCTCTCTCTCTCTCTCTCTCTCTCACACACACACACACACACACACACACAGAGAGAGAGAGAGCACTGGAAAACATCTACACATCTAAACCTAGGGCCCACCTGCAGGAACACGCAGCACATCAAGGCGTGCACACACACAAAAACAAAGAATCACGCTCACCATCCACCCTTTAAAACTCACTAATTCAGTGCCCAGGACCCTCGATGATGCGTAAACAGGACTAGAGAGAAAGATGCTGGCGTCTCGACTCCACACACCTTCCTGGGTCTCTCGCCGCCAGCCCCATTCTTGGGCTGCACAACACACACACACACATACACACACACACACACACACACACACGCACACACACCTCTGCTGTCTAGGGCCAGCTCCCCGGGATCCACTCTACGCCCTGAACATATACCTACTCCCATTCCTCCCCGCACTCCTGCGGTGTGTGTGCATCCCTACACACGCTCGGCTTCCAGTACCTCCAGCCTCCTATCCTTTCGCCGCCTCTCCCCCAACCTTCAACACACGCTTCCCAATCCCCGGCTTCAACCAGCTCCCTTGGGATCGTTTGGGCGCCCGCCCCGGGCCCCAGGCCCAGGAAAGTCCCCGGCTCTCAAGGCCTGGGCTCTGCCCCTTCCTCTCCCCAAAGTTGGGGGGTACTCAGCAGTACAGTGGAAGAACCCACCGGAAGGGGGCTGCTTCGAGGCCCCCTTTCCCCATAAGCCTCCCCTCTTGCTCCTGGGCTGGGCAACCCCTGGCCCCTTGCATGATTGTCTTCCTTCTTCTGCTGCTTTTTTCTTTCTTTCTTTCTTCCTTTCTTTTTTTTTTTTTTTTTTTTCCTTTTTTTTTTTTTTTTTTGCAAACTTTGCCCGCGTCCCCGCCGCCCGGCCCTCACCCGCCGCAGCGAACTGCCGGGTGGGCTGGGCTGTCGCCCCGCTCCGCCAGGCGCCTTTGTATCCGCAGCGCTCCGGGTCGCTCCGAACTCCGCGCTCCAGGCCGGGCAGCGCGGGCGAAGGGGGGTGTCGAGGGGGGCTCCAGAGTCCGCTCACCCCCGGCTCGGTCCCAGACCGCTTGCCTCTTTCCCCCTCGTGGCCCCGGGGGGCAGGGGGCCGGGGGGACTGGAGGGCGCTCAGGCTCCCATGGCCGGACTAAGGATCAAGGAATCAAGATCAGGAATCAGATGGGGAGCCGCGGGCGGAGGGGGGGAGGGGGCAGAAAGCTCCCGGGTACCGCCTCCCGGCTGTTCCCGCAGCCGCCGCCCCTCCCACCGCCGCGTCCATTGTCTGCGGCCCAGCTCTTCCCCGAGTCCCAGCCCCCCCAACCCTGCGCTTTGGATGCCCGGCGGCCCTCCCCATCCTGGGAATCGGCGCCCGCCTTGCGAACCCGGCCACCAGGCCAGGAACCATGGGCTTCAGGCTGCCCTGATTCTTGGCTTTGGTCCAGCCTGCAGCCCCTATTAAAGCTGTCTCCTACACACACACACATACACACACACACACACACACACACACACACATTGAAGTCGTTGTCCCCAGACAACTGATGCTGGACATAGTGTCTTCTTTAGGGCCACAAACCCAGCTACCAAAATCCAATCTGAGACGTGGGAAGATTGATTCCCGCCCCCACAAAACCCCCTGGCTCCCATCCCCCAGAGCTGCGAAAAGGGTCATCCCTGATTTTAATTAGTGGCAAGAGATGGGGCCCCTCTTCCCATGCATACGGGGATTTCCCTGACACCACAGCCACCATGCCCCTCCGCCCCGCCTTTCCTCCAAAAATAATTTAATTACCCGGTGTTCTAGCTGCGAGCGACGACCGCCCAGTCAGACTGGGACGCTCACTCATTAACACGTTTTCCTCCCCTCTGGTTTGAGTGTTGGGATTAATTACAAAGGGAACCCTGCCTTGGGGGAGCAGGGGAGTGGGAAAACGACAAGGACTTTGGGTGGTGGAGGAGAGGGGGCCCTTCTCCCACGAAACCTATAGTGAAAATGCCTTGGCCATTGCCGAGTCTAACTCCCAGTTCTCCACCCATCGGACTTTAGGGTAGTTTAGAGATGCAGGTAGAACGCCCGGAGTATAGGTTAGCACAAAACATCTGGCACATTTAGGGCATTTCCACCCCAGAGAACATTAAGAAACCAGTTAGAGTTCCAAAAGTGTGCAGGTACCTAACAAGAGTGACCCCAGCATAGAAACCCACCAAGGGTGACCCCACCATAAAAAGGCTTTGGGAAGTCCATATTCTTCTAGGACTGAGTGAAAGCAAAAGTATTATTATATTACCACTAGTATTATTTGCCATGTAACCTGCCACTTACCTAGAATAGTACCACTTCAAAAGAGTCTTCACACACTTCTCAACACCCCCACCACCTCCACCTTTCAATTCTGATACCTGCCCTCCCAACCCTGTGATTAAGAAATCCCAGAGAAGGTGACTCCTAGCCTCTGTTCCTCTCCTGGCTGAAAAGTCTTTGCTAAAACTCCGACTTGTCTCTGATGCACATGCTAACGTCTCCCAAAATGAGGGCAGGATTTCTTTGTCTGCATTATGACTGTTCAAAGATAAAGAATCTTAGGCTGGTCTCAGACCCACAGAGATCCTCCTGCTTCTGCCTCCCTGGTGCTGGGATTAAAGGCATGCATCACTACAACCAGTCTAAAGATGAAGAATGTTAAGAAACGTCCTTTCTGCTTTTCACACAAGTACTTGCTTTTCCTCATCTGCTCTTCCCACATTATGGGTTAGCAAGGAACTTAGCGTCAAGACTGCATGAAATACCTAGTCATGGCTTCAAGTACCACAGTCCCAGCATGCACAGGGAGATCTCATTCACCTGTGTCTATCATGTGCCAGACATTGGGCTGCTCTGGAGGACCTTAGTGACCCCACCAGGCATGTAAGGGACACCTGGCAGGAAAGCTGGGGAAAAGTGAAAGGAAGTAGAGAGGACATGCATGTCCCCTGTCCAAAGCACACCTGAGCTGAGCTCAAGCATGTAACTTGAGAGCGTTGGGGCCTGCCATGGCATTGACCGGTTCTCTGACCAAGTAGAGTTTAAATTATGTTCAAATTCTGCAAGCTTGTTTCCTGGATGTCAGAAGGGCCCAAAGAACTGGAAAATTCTGAAGTCAGAATTACAGATAATTCTGTAGAATGGCCCCAGCTAATGCTAGAAACCCAAGTCAGGATGGCACATCTGGATTGACAAGTGTTGGGCTTGAGATTCAGTCCTTTCTTTGTCTCCTCTGAGGATGAGATTAGGGGATTTCAATTACACCTGCAGTAAAAATACTGGATTACAGAGGTGTCCAACATTAAATCTAACCATTCTCAAGTGCCCTTTCCACCAGTTCTCTGGACAATCCTCCACTCTTACCCTTAAGATGAATTTCATACATCCTGAATTCACAAAGTGGGGTAGCAGAGCCCCAAAGAGAAGGCTCATGTGTTCAGGGTCTGAAGGACTTAGCCTAATTCTTTAAAAAGGAGAAGAGCACTGAGGTAGGTAACATTAGACCAAGATTTTCCTAAGGAGGCCAACCCATAGAGACAGAGGGAGACTGGAGCTGGGGACCAGTTACCTGAAGGACTACAGAGTAGAGCAGCGTGGTCTTTGTTTTTTATTTTAATTTGCTGTATAGTCCAGGTCTTGCTGTATAGTCTAGACTGGCTTAGAACTCAAAACCCTCCTGCCTTAACCTCCCAAGTACACCATGTCTGGCTCACCGGCTCTTGGATTTTGAATGCACAGACAAGTTTCAATTTCTTCAAAGCTCAATGTTATTCATATAACAGGAGCTAATGACTTAACAGAAGGAATCCCCTCCACATACCCACAATGCCCCAGCCAGTTCCCAATTAAGCTTCTCTACCCTCCCTGTTCCATTCCTAGTCTGTTTCTTTCAGGAGTCTTGTTAAAGGAAGAAGACTCCTAGCCCAAAAATCAAAGCTTCAGATAAAACTCTTTCAACTCCTCACCAGCTAGCTCAGGGACCCTAGGCATAAGGGATGGAGCAGGTAGACTTCTCAGAGGCACCTCAGAAACCCTAGGAGATTTAGTTTTTCAGGAAAAAAATGCAAGGAATTCAAGAGGTGGCAGTAGCTCCTCTTCAGGAGAAGGAAGGCTCAGATGATAGAAACATACCTGCTTCCTGTGTCAATGGAATGGTTCCCGAAGATTAGGCCCAGTCCTCCATGGCAAAGATTAGGTCTTCTGCTTTGATCTAAAGTAGAACTTTAAAAAAAAAAAAAAAAAAAAAAAAAAAAACAGTACTACTCTGAAAAGGGAGATCTTTAGTACCTCTGTTCAAACACAAAAGCGTCATAAAGCATTTCAGTGTCAGTGACTAGCAATGTCAGACACCTCCCAGGGTGGTTGACCACAGTAAGGTATCCACAGACCAGGCTACCACACCTATCTTCCTGCAGCCCTATAGATATAGATATAGATAGATATAGATAATCCTCAGGACAGGCTAAATAGAGGCCATCCCCATCCCGTCCTCACCTTCCTAGAAGGACCATTCTCAGTGTTTCCAAAACAGAATGATAACTCATCCAGCATTCCAGAGGTGGAAGCTGAGGACTAAGAACGTTCGTAGCCAGCTTGAGCTACAGAGCAAGTTTCAGGCAAGCTTGGGTTATACAGTGGGACCCTATCTTAAAAAAACCAAGGGGCTGGGGATGTAGCTCAGTGGTAGAGCATTTGGCCTAATGTATGTAAGGCCCTGGGTTCGAGCCTCAGCACGGAAAAAAAAAAGTCTTTCCAAACCCAATCTATAGTGTGGAATTGCTAGCTTCTTGTCTTTTAATGAAAAAGCAAGTAAGCAAGCAAAAACCCTCAGCTGGTCAAGAATGCTGCTATGCTCTCGGATTATTGTGAGATGCCTTTCTTTCCCACAAGAACTTGATTTGTTTAAGAACAAGGACTCAGGCTGGAAAGAAGACTCAGCAGTTAAGAGCACTGGCTGTTCTTGCAGAAGACCCAGGTTCAAATCCCAGCACCCACATGGAGGCTAAAAATCATCTGTAACTCCAATTCCAGGGGATCCTGTGGCCTCTTCTGTCTTCTGGCATTGCACGACATGGATGTACTTACACACAGGTAGGTGTAACACACATAAAATAAAAA